GTAATTATGACATTGGTATTAAATTCATGGCCATTGGTATAATTAAAATGGTCATTGTTATAGTTAAAATTAATTTTTCACCTGTATCTCTTTAATTAATAAAAGCGAATTATTAACGATTTGATTATTTCGAAATAATAAATTTTGAATTTTGACATATTCATCTTTATAATGTTTGAGCATTTTAAGAAATAAATTATGTTGCCCTTCGGGTGTTTGTGGAAATTGATTTATTGCTTAAAAACATTTTTAACTTCGATAATTTTCAGCTTAATAAAAATTAAAATTTACTGTAAGCTGATAATGGTAGATGTTCATATAAATCCAGTAAATGTTGGGGAAGTTGACTATGTGGATGTTGTTCCATTTTAAACTCAAAATTGAATTTTAAAAAAATTCAAAAAATAAACGTACTTGATTTAGATACCCTCTAATAAATCCAAAATTAGAACTTTCTCCAGCTTCCATTTTGATCGGATCTTTTGATCCTTCCCCCTCTTCCACCCCAAATATAAATTGAAATTGAACAAAAATAATAATTAAAAATAAATATTTCATCACGAATAAATTTAAAATAAAATTTTTATTTAACAAAATTAAATGGATGTAATGAAAGAAAAATGCCGATTTTAAGTGTATGTAGACGTTCGGCATCTTGTGAAATCTCGTCTGTTATTTAAAAAAAGAGGCGCATTATTGTCAAAAGGAAGGAGACGTAAAAGGCGCAAAGCACTTTTAATGTAAACAAAGCGCTATAATGGCACATTCACATAGAAAGCGTCTTGCGTTTTGCGACAAAAACAGCATTCAAGAAATTCAGTGACACTCCGAAATTCAGTGACACAAAGCTTTATAAAGTAAATTTCTTGAAGAAATTCTTGAGAAATTAATTCTTTAATTTCAAAATAATTTTAAATGAATTTTTGCAAAAATCCTTTAATTTTTTGCTGAGACCGTTAGGAATTTATTACACAAGAAAAAACATATACTTTCATAATTGCCATTTCGATTAACTCGATATTTTAGAATTGTATTTTAATTTATATTTTTTATTATTCATTTAATGAAGCGGCATTATCCATCTCCTTCAAAGGCATGCACTTTATCGCTCTTACACTCTCGCCTTTCTCATTGCATTTTTTTAATTAAAAGGTAAAAATTAAAACACAAAAAATCCAAATTCACGTGACATCATCATGCCCTTCATTTCAAGCCTCCTTTTGAAATAAAAATTCAAATATTTTCAAACTTTTAATAAATAAAGTATAAATAAATAAAGTAAAGCGCCGATTCTATCCAAGAAAATTGTCAAAAAATTGGATGGGGATTGTTTTTGAGAGCTCTTCAATTGAAGGTTCTAACAGATTAAACATCCACCACAAACTGATAGGTTTCGCTTCTTTTTTCAGCTAGGCCGGGAGGTCTTACAATACGTATTAAAATAAGTGGCAATAAAAATGACCATCAAACCATCGACTCCACCCAGGGCTGCACGCAATTGGAAAAAAATTTCGCAATTCGCAATCCGCAACTCGCAATTTCTTTTTAAAAATCCGCAAACGCAATTCGCAACTCGCAATTGCAAAACCCCGCAATTTACGCAATCCGCAGTTGCTTGCGCCATGCTTCTACTCTCTATAACAACTGTAAAAACGACAACACACTTTTAACGGCCTATTCTAAACAAACTTAAAATTTTACTCAACTATTTATAAACCAGTTTTATTTAAATTCTCTATTCAAATTCTTATAAGAGAAATAAGAATTTTCAATTTGATTAGCAACTGAATAAATAAATATTTAAATTTAAATTTTTGTTTATTGCCAGTTGCCCTTGTAGCTCAGTGGTTAGAGCGTCTGTCTTGTAAACAGAAGGTCGATGGTTCGAATCCATTCTGGGGCAATTTTTTTTATCAAATTTTAGAATTTATTTGAACTAAATTTAAAAAAACTAAATATAAATTAACAAATTTAGGTAATTCAAATTTAAAGGTAAAAAATAAAGTTAGCGTAAGAAAAAATTTTATTTTGGATAGAGTGATGTCAGGGTTTCGAGTGTTACGAGAATATGAGAGCATTTGGGAAGCTTATTGAGGATTTGGGACTCATATTCTCTCAGGAGATGCATATTCTATTTTTTGGACGTATATTCTCTGATACTTTGATGGAACGCATAAAAGCTCATGGTACGCATGTACTAATGTAGAGCCTAAAGTAGAGAGAGAGATTTTTTAATTTTTATTTCATTTCGTTGGAAATGAAATAAAAATTTTTTTCCCTAATTTTTTATAAATTCTAATAATTAAAAAATAAAAGTATGTATGTACATTTGTTTATACTCGAAAAATTCTTCAAAATGAATGAGCTTTGAAAAGCTTACTACAACCGTAAATCCAATAATTTAATGACAAATTACTCTAGAATTTTAATTGATTCTTAACAGGGTATCACATATGTCTATGAAAATCTCTTAACCTAACCTACATTAGTAACAGTGCTATTTTAATTTTAAAAACCGTTCGTCTGTGGAAAGCTCCTTAGAGGAGGAAAGCTCTTTAGAGGAGGGGGCATAATTAAATTGAATGCTGTCATTTAAATAGAGGATTTACGTATATAAACTACATTTTAGATAAAATAATTTTTTGCTTTTCAATAAAGTTTAACCTTTCTTCAAGGTTTTTCTTCGAATTCTTTTTGGATTTCAAAACATCATCCGTAATTCCGTCCTGTTTGCGTTTACCTTTTAATTGATATTAGGTATATTCATTTAAATATTTATCTTATTAATTATTTATTAAATTTTTTTTACTTTCCTACAAAATTTCTCAATTTTTGAGATTTTTTTTATTTATAGCGAAATTTAATAATGGACCGGAAAAACAATTATTTTATCTAGATTATAATGTAAGGATAAAACGCTTAGGCGGGGGTTAAACGATCTAAAAAGGAAAAAGAGAAAGCATTAGTCGATGCCCCGGTAGCTCAGAGGTAGAGCTCCTGCATATAGTGAGAGCGCCTATCAACAACTAGCAGGTGATCGCAGGTTCGGTGGCTAAACTGTTGCAAACTCTTTCTATAATAATTCTTTGTTAGTCTAGTAATTGGACGTAGACTTTTATCGCTCCGTATCGATCAAAAATCTCGGTTTTAGATATCAAGATTTTTAAATGATAAAATTTTTTGGTTCTAGAACTATTTGGGCTGTAAAAGTTATCTGTGTAAATAAGCGATGCTATGCCTAAAGTTCATATTCATGGCTTTTTGATTCCCCAATTTTAAATATCTACCCCTTAGCAATCTATTTTTTATTAACTAAAATTTTAAATTTTTACGGGGATTATACTTGTTCTCATCATCTTCTCCATCATTCTCTACATTTACACTTTCTTCATACTCATTCAAATCTTCTTCCATCTCCTTTAATTCTTCTTCCTTCGCCTTCAAATCTTCCTTCTCCTTCTCATTGAAAATCAGTTTTTGGTCCACTTTTTTATTTGCAAGAATTTCCAAGAATGTTTTCTCATTATATTTTTTGATTAAATATAAATAGGCTACATCTTGCATATGTTGCATTTTATCATAATTAAGTTTATAACAGATTTCCTTTGGCTCATCTATTAGAGTATTATCTTGTGAGTCTTTTTCAGTTTTATCCTCCTCTTTATGTGGAGCTTTGTGCTCTTTATGAGATGTTTCCTTCTCGTTATGAGATGTTTTCTCAACCATATGAGATGTTTCCTTCTCGTTATGCGATGTTTCCTTCTCTTTATGAGATGTTTTCTTATCTTTATGAGATGTTTCCTTTTCTTTATGAGATGTTTTCTCGTCCTTATGGGATGCTTCCTTCTCATTATGAGATGTTTTCTCATCCTTATGAGATGTTTCGTTCTCGTTATGAGATGTTTCCTTCTCTTTATGTGATATTTTCTCGTCTTTATGGAATGTTTTTTCGTCTCTATGAGAGGTTTCCTCTTCCTTAGGTTCTGTCCAGCAAGCCTGAACATTTTTAAATTGAAAGGATTCAAACAAATTAAAACGATTAAGTTATTACTTGAATAAGAAGAAGTTAAAAGTTTGGATAAATCTCCAGATAGAACCAATATTCGAACAAAAAGGTAAACGATTAAATTTGTCGAAAGTTAAAAATTGGACGCGAGATTTTAGTAAAAGAATTATTTTTCTTGTACTCATATGTATATTAAGGTCATTCTATTTGAGCCACAGTTTCTAATATAACCACTTCAAATGGAGTGGTTTAAAATAGATATCTCCATTTGAACTACAGTCTCTTATATAAAATTTGGAAGCGAGAGTGGTTCTATTAGAATAAATCCGGTATTTATAAAAATTCTTTAACCTCAAAATTTTCAAGAATATAATCTATACGTTCCTCCAAACTAAATAATTTTTCTAATTCATCTTTAGCATTATCCTTAACAGGCTTTATTTGTATCCACATAACCTGTTGTGCATCACTACCCTTTTTTAATTTTAATTCTTCCTTAATAGTAGAATCAACTTCAAATGCGAATGTAATGGACTCCGTCCATGCGTTGTCTGTGCTTAACTGAAAATTAGAAAATTATTATTTGATAATTTGATGAAAAAGACAAGATCAGTGTTGGGTATGGCTCCGTGAGCTCGGGGCCCGAATATGGAGCTCTTTGGAAGATTATAAACTTCCTTCGTAAAAAAGTTTTTCTATTAACGAATTGTCAAATTTCCAAAATTTCCCCTTAGTCCCCTCCAAATCCCACGATAATCTTGTTAATCTTATGATATTACTGGATATCACATTTAATCATGTGACGAAAATCGCAGGCTCCGGAGCCATGGTTTGAAAATGTCAGAGCTGGGCCAACAAATGGCCAATACCCAGTATTAGACGAGATCATATCCCCAAGATTAATGGAAAAATCCTTCGACTCTACTAAATTTTTTGTCTAGTCTCAGTCAAACACTTTAATCACTAACTATTAAACTTCGTAAAACACTAATAATTATTCTGTTACCTGACTTAATTCAGCACCACCAAATTTAACTAATTCTCCTTTACCAATAATTTCTTCCATTTTTTCAAATTCTTCTTTGTTTCTTTTTTTCTTTAATCCAAAAGCTTCTTCTATTAATTCTCTCTTTGCAGAATATTCAAATTCCTCTCCCATGTCTACAAATCCACCCGGCGTGACGATATCTTTAATTTAAATTATTTCTTGAAACATTCAAAATATTTAAAATAAAAGAATTTACTAAAAAGATTTATTTCTTACACGATTTTTTCTCATATTTGCCATTTTCAACACCAAGAAACTCAAATTTATTAAAATCTTCTTTATTATTAACATATAAAATCGCTCCAGCTCCTTTAGTTGGCCCCCACTGACCAAACGATCCACGGCCTTTAAAACCTGTTCGAGCCACTGGATTGAGTGGGTAACCATTATGCACATGATATTTACTAAAATAATTTTTAATGTTGAAATTTAATCAAAAATTGAATAAATACTACTCACAACATACATGTCATAAAACTTTCGTTATCAGCTCCTAGAAACGCCCAGTGGCATAATTTGGAAAAATTCAAAATAAGAGCAAGCCTAGAACAACCACAATATCCTTATCTATATTTTAACTCATGAATAAATTTTACCCATAAAATGAGCAACGATTTATTACTCGATGTTTATCATTTTCTTTGTCATGGTCAGGAAGTAAATCCAATTTGTTATCAGAATGCCAAAGTTCTTTATATAGATTAACATCCTCTAAATCAGGTTTAATCCAATGACTTGATGGCAAATAGCTTCGTGCTAAATTTAATCCAAATACTTCAGTTGGCTTGTATTTTACGTAAAGTTCGGCTAAATTAAATTAATTTTTAATTTTAAAGTTAGAGGATTTGAGTAAATTTAAGCTTTCTAAACATTACATTTTCCAAAATAACAGGTTATTTTTAAAAATATTTAGGCCCATAGAGAAAAATAATTTTGTAGGCAGGCTTTTACGCTCAAATATTCATTTCCTTAATAAAATTTTGATTCAGATTATGCTAAGCAGCATAAGAGCTAAGAACTATCTGTTGTATGAATTATGAGTACGAATGAAATCTAAATTATGAGTATTGTGATAATTATAAGCTGTATAGATAAATCGCAGTTACAGTTGATCCAGCATCGTGGATCGCTACAAATTGGAAATGCTAGGATTAGAAATTTAGAACAGATCCTTTAAATGAACAGGGTAATCCTTGAAATTGTAAAATTACTTTAGCTCTAAAATTTCTTCTAAAAATAAACAAAACATACACAAATCTATTTTGCAGCCTCTAACTTCATGGAATTTATAACAAAAACGCTCATTTCTTCGTTCCATCTCAAAATTTTCAAGTTTAAATCGAATATTCCCTCTCTCTTTAGACATTAAATGTAAAAATTCTTGATTTCTTTTTTGAACTAAAATTTTATGAAAAATATCCAAAATATCATATTCCTCAGCTTTTTCTCTCATTTTCATTTTTTCATCATCAGTAATTTCTAAATATTTAATTATTTCTTTAATTCCTTTATTTTGTAATTCTTTTATAATTTTTATAAATTCTTTAATTTTCTTTTTAATTTCCACCTTCTTCATCTCTTTAATTTTTTCTATAATTGACTCCTTTTTTAAAACCTAAAGGTTTAATCATAAAGTCTATTTTATATTTTTAGTTTTTAAAATAAATTAATATTTGTCAAAATATATGATCAAAATTATTATCTATTAGAACCGAGAAGATTTGGCGGATAATAGAAATATTTTATAAGAATGATTCACCTAGAGCATTTAAAACGTTTACAAAGGAGAGTGCCTGAGGTGTCCGTGGAACTTAGGAATGAAATTTGGTAGACGGGTAGATCATACCCTACTTTAGTAAAAATTTGTTATATGTGGGGGACCCTAAAACTTTGGGGGCTTATAACTTGGTCCCTGGTACCCCGCAGCGAAAATGCTTAAATTTTCAATTGAAGTAGGTTATGTTCCTGTCTACCAAATTTCATCCCGAAGTCCCACGGACACTCAGGCACCCTCCTTTGTTAGCGTGGGTTAAATGATCTAAAAGGATAAAAGAGAAAGCTTTAGTCGATGCCCCGGCAGCTCAGTGGTAGAGCTCACAAAAAAAGCGGTGAGCGAAAGCGCCTAGCAATAACTGAAAGGAGGTTGCAAGTTTGAATCCTATCCGGTGGCTCAACTTTTGTAAACTCTTTCTATTTTTGTTTTCCGGAATTTTTTACGAATCCGCTAGCCCTAAACGTGACTTAATAGAGGGACTGATTTTAATCAGATAAAAATGTGCACAAATTAAATTTACTTCTTCAGTCTCTATTCCTTTTATTTTATCTTCAATTTCTTCAGTCTTTGTATTTTTCAGCATAAATTCAATCCCTTCCTTTAATTTTTCAATAGTTTCTCTCATTTCTTTAATTCCAATTCTTTTAATTTTTCCCATTAATTTCCTCCATTTCTTCTTGTTTTTTTTCAATTTTATCATACTAATTTCATCCATAATTTCTATCATTTTTTTAATTTCATATTTGCCTTCTTTTTCATTTTCTTCAATATTTTTCAACAATTTTTTTATTTGTTTAATTTTTTTCTCCAATTTAATTTTCTTTTGTTTAATTTTATTCTCTTTAAGTTTTTCTTCTTCTGTTTTATTTTCCTCATTTTTCTCCTTTTTTTCTTCCTTCCCTTTATCTTCTTTCATTTTCTCTTCTTTATTTTCTTCCGTTAATCCATTTGTAGTCATCTTCACCAGTTCGACAATTTCTTTAATTATCTTCTTAATTTCATCTTTTACTTCCTTCTTTTCTTCCTTCATAGCTTCTTCCTTCTTTTCTTCTTCCGGCTTATCTACTTCCATTTCATCTTCCTTCTTATCCTCTTCCATTTTCATTCCCTCCTTCTTGGCTTCTTCCTTCTTAGACCCTTCCTTCTTAGCTTCTTCCTTCTTTTCTTCTTCCTTCTTAGCTTCTTCCAATTTCTTCCTTTCCTCAATTAACTCTTCAATTTTATCCATTCCTATTTCCTCTATTAACTCTTTAATTTCACCTTCCTTTATTTTTATAATTTCTCCTTCAATATCCTTCATCTCAATATTTTCTTCATTTTCCCCCTCAATCATTTCATTTTCTTTCAATTTTTTTAATATTAATTTTTGCAAAATTAATTCTCGAAACATTAAATCTTTTATCCATTCTTCTTGTTTTGCATATACTTTTTTGAAAGCTTCAACTTCTATTGTGTCTTTCTCGAAGAATGACGCTAAATTAATTATTTAAATTTACTTATTTAAATTTATTTTCGAAATTATTACTTCTTTGTTTAATTTATTTATATATTAATTATTTGGGCGTTTCTGTTCGATTTTTTTCGTTTTTTATTGTAAATCATATACATTCGGAAGAACTTTTCGAGCTGAGTCGAACGGCACTAGAATCATCGAGCTCGAATAGCTCTTTCGAATGATATATAATAAATTATATGTCAAGCAAGAAATCTCAAAATGGTTAGATAAACAGGAAAGAAGGTGCGGGGGGGGGGTCAGCCAGAGTATTACCATTATTTGATTGTCATATATAAAGGGAGGGAGTTTAATTAAGGATAACGGCCTTTGAATTTTTCTCATTATAAGAGCGTAAATGATCCTGAATTTAAAAAATACAGATGGCCTTGAATTTTGTCAGTTTTTTAATTGTTTGCTGCTAGGTGGAGGAACTACCTGAGCGATGCAAAAATTTAAGATGCCACTCATTTTTAAAAAAACCCCCAAGGTTTATTTGAAATCGAGTGGATTAAAATTATGATTTATTTAAATCATTTAAAACGATTCCATTTAAAAAATAAATAATCTAACATATTTCTTCTTTTCCATTTATCTTTAACTTTACTGGATCATATACACTCTTGTATGTTCGAGGCAACGGAAGTTGATATTCCGGTTTGTAGAATTCTCCAGTACAATCTTTAGGATCGTTTGGAGGCAAATAAATGTCTTGCGGCAATCTTGGAATATCTTCCAAAGTTTTGTCATCCTTTGCCTCTCCATCTAATAGGAGCAAGGCAAAGGCAGCTACAACGAGCCAATGCATTTTGATGCTTCTTCAAACAATTTTCTACCTCTTCAAGTGATTTGAAAAAAATTAAACAATTTTTTAATCTGAACTTTAATATAATATTAAAGGCTATTAAATTTAAAGATAATTAAAAATATTTTATTCAAGGGTAATTCGAATCAATTTATAAGGAAAATTCATAGCTTAATCCGCCCTATAGCTTAATTTCATGGCTTAATCCGCCCCTTCCCGCCTCCAACAAAATTTTTTTAAAGGCGTTTATTCTCGTGATTTTTTCCTCGCGGTCTTCCACTCTTTATAGACTTTTAAAAAATATTTTTTAAAGGGCAATTTTTAAATATTTTGTAGTTTGTTTAAGCTTAATCGAATTTAAGAGAGGAATTGACATATGCTGTGAGAAATTTAAAGCTATTAAAGGGCATCTTTGTTTGATGAAAGAAAAATGCTTTAAAATCTAAAAAGATGCGCCGCTTTGATTTTTGGGACGCTGAGCTAAGAACTAGGCTCGCTGAGCTAAGAACTAGGCTCGCTGAGCTAAGAACAGAACTAAGGATTCTATATTATATGGGGCATTCTTAGACAATAAAATAACTATGTATAAATATACTAATAATTTATTCCTTGTTTTAATATTTATTATGTTTTAAAACTTTTTTAAAGCTTTTTAAAACTGACACTCCCTAAGAATTGAACTTTTTTGGATTCATCATTTTATTTTTAAAATTGTAGAAATCTGGCTTAACAGTCAGAACACAGTGTCGACTGAGGAATAATAGCACTGGTTGTTTCAGACTAAGGGCTAGCTGTCAAAGACGCACAGCAAAATCGATGATTGGGTCATGGCAATCAAAGCCGTAAAGCCCAGCAGCAGAAGTCACGGCCTGTTCCTTCAGAGCCATTCGAGAATATGACCACACAATAGCCTCAACATTCCGAGGCAGGAGGAAATTAAGCTCTAGGGGGATGAAGCAGCATTCCAAAATTCCTACGAACTGGTCTCTTGGAAGCTTGGATCTGCTCTTCTCTTATCATTCATTTCTCGGGTTTTTTGCAATCATTTATCGGCGGCCATCCCCACGCTTCACTTTTCTTCCAAGCTTTTTCTTCCCTCATTCTTCTTCCACTTTCCTGCGTTTCCAGCGTCCGTTCTTGCCTAAACGACGAATGTGAATTTTTTCTTAATGATTTTCCCTTTCCTACTTTCTCCGTTCCAATTCCGAATTTAGATAATTATGATATTCGTTTTTATTTTTCTTGAGTGCTTTTTGGTTGGCACTCTTCCTTTGCTTAAAGTTTCATTTTTTCATCCCAGGTTATTTTTAATGGAGTCCATTCTGATAAATCCTACAAACTGTTTGTATCTTGATCCACCACGATTTTATTATCTCTTGCATGTGACAAGGCCCGCTCCTCGTTGATTTAAGAAATAATAATATTAAGCAATTTTTTATTAACGAAATTTTTTCTTGATCTGCAATTATGATCAGTTTTATTTAATGATTGAATGTGATTCTATTGACTACAGGGATTTCGGGTTGTAAATTCGGCGGGTTATTGGTGTTTAGATCGCGCTCTTCCTCCTCCGATCCCTCCGAATTTTCTCTCGTTCCGTACTGATCCTTTCTATCAATATTCCTTCGGTATGGTTTACACTTGTTCCTTTGTATTGTTTTTCTCTCACCACGTTCTGGGTTTTCAAAATTAAGTTTGGCTTTTAAACTCTGATTATTTGTATGGGTCCTTTAAATTTGAAGACGAATTAGGTTCCTTTTTCTTCCCTTTTTACCAACACTAATCCCCTCTTTGTAACAATTAGTGGTCCCGTACATCCCAACACTCATCCTTCGAAATTTCTGAAAATATACACTGCGACGCAAGTGTATATTTTCTTTTCGGTTAATTCCAAAATAGGATTCAGTACACATGCGGATATTCCACCTATGGCATCTAAAAATCTGAAACTTCTTCGGAAATCTGATTGGCACAAAAATATTTATTTTCACTAATTCCGGGAGATCCTCAAGTGGCATAGTGCAATTATCGATGATCACTCCCGATGCCTCCGCGTAATTTCTGTTACACATTTGAAATTGAGCATTCATCAATGGCAATAAAAGGCATATTATCATTAAAAGGCAGATATAAGGGAAGCTAGTATTGTTTTTCTCTCACCACTTTCTGGGTTTTCCAAAATTAAAATCAAAATTTTAAAAAAATTAAAAAAATTTTTATTTATTTTTTTAAATTATATTAAAGTTAAAACCAAATTTAAATTATTTAAATTAGAAATTCCACAGTATCCGACAACCCTAGTTGAGTAATACAGGTTAAAATTTAAATATGTATTAGTAAAAGTTTAACTAATAACATTAAATTTAATAGAAAGATTTAAAAATAAATTGATGGTTTAAAAAAGAAAATCTAAAGAAAGTTTTTTGTTCTAAATAATTTTTAAATACATTCATGGAAAAAAGATAGGAGCAAAGGCTGTTAATTTAGTTTTAAACAATTAACTTTTTGATTAATTTTTAGAAAAAAAGTTTCAACACAAAAATTGTAGTTAAAAATTTCAACATTTTCTGCAATCACAATTGTTAAAGAATATTGCAAAAACTACGGGGCACTTGTTGAATCGCATTTTGATTTGAACCTTTGAATAATAAATTTAATATTTATTAATGGAGTAAATTTAATTTAACTAATTTTTTTGAATTAACGGAAATAGAAAATTCAATATTAATTCAGAGTTTTGTTTACTGTAAATATATAACTAACTCTCGACATGATTATCCTGAGTTGTCACAATTTGGTTATCCAGAGGCGGTTGCGATTGTGAAGCAGTTGATGAATTTATTTCTTTTGCTTTTCCATTTTCCCCCATCATAAAATAGATCCAATCATAAAGAAACCATTTGTGAAAGTTTTTATTAAATAAAATATTTTTAGAAAGATTGTGAATTTCTCTTTGCTTAAAATATTTTATAACGTTTTCATTAAAAGTATTTCTATTTTCATTTATTTCTCCATCATCAAATAAAGGGTAAATTCGATGCAGACATCGAATTAATTCAGGGGAATATTTAGCAAAAGGATATTCATTCAATTCAAAATCAGAAAAGAATTTATTTCCGATCTTTATCAGCTCTCCATCATTAAACTTCATAAAAGTTTTAACAAACACAAAATGTACACCTCTCTTTAATTTTCCAAGGGCTTTTTTGTCTTTTTCCGATTCAATATTAAATTTAGTAGAAACACATTTTTTAAGTTGATCATCAACTTTTACAAAAATTTGAATGGCTTCTACATAATAGGGTGATCTAACACCATCAACGTGCACATAAATGAGTATGATGTAGTTACCCTTTTCTTTGTAATCCGCACAAATTTCAATATAATTCCATTCTTCAAAATTTAATGGCCATTTAAATTTGGTAAGAATTGCTTTCTCATTACGGCTAATAATTGCATTCTCATTATTACCGCTTTCAATTATAGGCTCGAAATTTAGGTTGGCATGAAAAAGTGGTTCAATTTTGAGCAGTGCCTATATAAAACATGCTATAGTACGTGAGAGCACGAATATAGATTTGAAATACCGTATTATCTCTAATACAAGCCCTGGGCGTCTATTTTTCAATACCCCTCATTGACTGGGCTTCTAATAGGGCATGGGCTTCTATTAGGGCATGGGCGTTTATTTTTCAATATCGAATTTTATAGAGATAAAAAATAAAAGCAACAGAATTAAACTGTTTGTCAGGAAGAAAAAAAGAAAAGAATGTAAAAATTAAATATAAATATCACTAAAACTCCTTTCCCTCAAACTAGTAGCGAGGAAATCCCTTATAATCACGCAAATCACTCTTAATGAACTCCTGAATAATCAGATTAAGCTCTCTATTCATTTTTATTAAATCCATTTTTGTAAATATCCGTTTAATTCCAAAATATTCCTCGATATCCCTGTTATGTCCGTGATTTGAATATTTTTAATGTTTTTTATTCATTTAACCTTCTTATCTAATTTGCCCCATTTTTCAGAATATTAAATACTTCCCTCATTCCAACTTTCAAATATTTCCTTTCATCTTATTTAAATTGTTGCCCTTCACCCTTATTTCCTAAACCTTTTCCTTTGTATCTGTTCTTTATATTTTTATCATCTACCGCCCTTCCTAGTCCCTATATATACTTGTTTCATTCCCCTCATTTTCAGTGCTCTCCGGAGCCTCCCTTGACCCTAATTTGTATTGATAGAATGAATAAATATAATAAATTAATTCCTCAATTATGTTTGAGAGCTTAGGGTCATTGTACAATAAATATGTCTGTTCTCGCAGACATAATAATCCCCCTTGCTCTTAAATCCATTTTACAACTTAACCTTCCATATCCCTATTATCCTTTCATTTTAACAGTATCCCACTCTAATCTTCCAATGCTCTTCTTCTAGTACACTAACTCTCCTTCTTAAGCGTCTAAATTTCTTAATCTCTCATAATCCTTCCATATCCTCAATGGAAAAATATGGAAGGATTATGGAACCTCTATCGATCGATGGATCCCTCGATAGATATTGAACTATTATTTGGCTATCAACGAATTAATAGGAATAATATTGAACTATTATTCCTATTAATTCGTTAATAGCCAATGATATCCCACTCAATCATACAATAAGCTCTATACCACAATTCCTTAGATATCTTCTTAAACCCATATTTATCTCTAAAATTCCAATAATTTCTCCAAATTCTCTTAATTCACGTTAAACTCATTTCAAATTCACTTTAAATTGATTCAAATCTCCCGATATTACATTCAAATCCCTCTGTACTCATTTTTGTAGACTGGAATTTTGTTATAAATACCTTTAGTTAACTATAACACGGATAATAGAAAAACAGGAAGTCAAAAATTAGATGGGCTTCTATTAGGGCATGGGCTTCTATTGGAGCATGGGCCTTTATTCTTCAATACCCCCTATTGAGTGGGCTTCTAATAGGGCATGGGCTTCTATTGGAGATGGGCTTCTATTAGAGACAATACGGTATATACCATTCGATTCCTCTTGCCGGACTAGTTCAGATATATAATACTTTATCTTTAAGAGACGGAAACTCGCAGAAGAAGCTCCCAAAAATCGAAAAACCATGAGGAGGACAAGCTGGGTACTTTATGCATATGTCACCCGCCCCTATTTTGAGTCCCAGAGTTTTACAAAATGGTCTAGCGAGAATATTAGTGATGACTGGTGAGAAAAATAAGTGAGCAAAGAAGGGAAGGGTAAAAGGAAAAGAAAGCCCCATCCCTCATTATCTTTATATTCTTGATTTTCAGATGATATACAGGGTGACATAATAGAAACTGGACATAAAAGAAACTTTATTTAACCCTGTAATACTAATTAAAATTTAAAATAAAATTAATTTACATAATATACTCCATCCAATTTCAAACAAATCCAAAATCCTCTTCTGTAAATATTTTCGAATTTTTCTATAAAATGAATTTCTTTTTTCTCATTTGTCAAATTCTCGGCTTTATATATTTTTTCTTTAAATCCTAAATTTAACCGGCCACAAGTATAGTATTCTTTATCTCTTATAAATAATTTATGTTTTTTGTTTAAAGCCCCAAATTCAATAATTATTTCCAAAGTTTTTTCTGTTGTATTCTCATTTGTTTTGTTGATTTCAAATTTCTTTACATTAATATCTCCAACTAAATTTTCAGAATTCTTTTCGAAAATAACACGTTGATGTGTTTGAATATTTTCAAATGAGTAAGAAAAAAACAAAAAAATTAAATTGACAAAAAGTTTAATTTTTGTCGAAAGCATTTTTGTCTAAAATAAAAATTTTGAATATTATTAGATATATCTTTTATATATTAAAATGTCGGAAAACAAAGGGAAAATTTTCTAAACTAAAAATAAAGCGTCGTTGTAGGCAGATATACCCCGTTGGAACGATGAACCATGTTTCTAGATTTCTACTGCTTTCTCAATTACACATTTACTAGAGCCCGGACGGAGGGCTCGGTCGATATTTTTTCGATAAATATCGAAAAATACCGAATACCGAAAAATATCGAAAAAACCAAAATTTTCTCGGTCGATATTTTTTCGATAAATATCGAAAAATATCGAAACCGAAAAATATCGAAAAAAAAGTCTCGATATTTTTCGATTTTTCAAAAAATTTTCTATAACCAATGAAAAACAGAATAGACCTAATAGTTTAATAAGATTAAGATTGATTAAATAGGATATTGGTGAATTTGGACATATTAAATGTAATATCAATGGATTTGTATTGATATCGAAGGATCAAGTGAGATATAAGTGGATTTTATCTATGGATAATGGATTTTAAGGAATTAAGGGGATATTAATGGATGGAGTGTGTATCGAGAGTTTAGAGGTAGTAAGAGTGATATTGTAAATTTGTGAGATCAGGAGGGATATCAAGGGATTTGTGGATTAAGAGGGATATCGAGGGATAACGAGATATCAGAGGATGAAAAATCTTGGCATTTGATATCCGTTTTGATATTCATCTCTCACAAAGCTCCGTCTTGATTCCTCGAGATTCATTTTACCCACTTAATCCTCTATAAGTTATACAAATAGTCGATTATCCCAGATATCCATAATATCCTCATGATCCTGGATATCTCAAATATCCCACAAATCTTCTCATACCACACTGAAATCTCCCTTAATCTACCGAAATTTTTTAAATTTATATTAGTGTTTTGTAGGGAATCGAGGGAATATGATGGCTTAATGGGACAAAACAGGATATTCTAACAATTTTATGAAAATCTCGGAAGGTCAAGTTGCAAAATTTTTGCGCCGCAGGCGAAAATTTTTTGAATTTCCGATGGGCAAGAAGCAAAAATGCATCCTTTTTGCGCCAAAAATTCAAATTTTTGTCGAAAATGACGTTCGATATTTTTTTCGATTTTTTTAATTTGGTCGGTCGATTGTTTCGATTTTTAAAATTTCTCGGTCGATATTTTTTCGATAATATCGAAAAATATATATCGAAAAATACCGAAAAATATCGAAAAAATATCGTATCGGTCCGGGCTCTAACATTTACCCTCTAAGTTCCGCTTGACAAGGTGCGCCGTTTGCGCCGCGACTTACTCCGTTCCGCACATACTCACACGGCATCACATTGTGACCTTAACATAGCACGCAACCTATCCAACATCCCAATACCATCCTGGCCGAGGGCGAACTACGCCGCAGGCGAAAATTTTGAGCATTTTGGAGTCCAAGTAGCAATATTTCCTCCAAGAATTGCTCAGTTTACCCAACCCCGGTATTTTTTCAACCCGAACCCCCGAACATTTTTCTATAAAATTTAAAGAAAATTAAAAATATTTAATTCAAGACTAATTCGAAGTCATTTTATAAGGAGAATTCGTGGCTTAATCCGCCCCATGGCTTAATTTCATGGCTTAATCGCCCCTTTCCCGCCCTTAAAAATATTTTTATAAAGGGCATTTATTCTTGTGATTGTTTTCTCGTGTTTTTCCCCTCTTTATAGCCTTTTAAAAAAGATTTTTAAAAGGGCAATTATTAAATATTTTGTAGTTTGTTTAAAGCTTAATCTAATTTAAAAGAGGAATTGTCATATGACTGTAAAAAATATTTATCTATTAAAGGGCATCTTTAGGTGATGAAAGATCTGATAAAAGGAAATTTATCTGATGAAAGAATATTTTAAAAGATGCGCCGGTTTAATTTTGGGACGCTGAGCTAAGAAAAAATCGCTAAGCTAAGAATAGAACTAAGGATTCAACATTATATGGGGCATCTGTGTTTTAATAATTTATTGTTTGCTTTTTGATTGTTCTTTATAAATAAATTGATTAAAAAGTTTTGTGAAATATTATTTGACAAAAAAACTTTATTCTCTGTGTAATTTAGCAACAAAAAATTTTACACGAACATAAGCACAAACCCAAAAGAGGCAAGTAACTCTCGATTAATTAATCCTTTTTCAACATTTTTACAGAATTAAACCTTTGAATATTTATTCTTTGCTATTTTATTTTTTCATATACATAACTTTAAATTAAAATCATAAATATATTTCTGTTTAGAAAATCTTTACTAATTTACTACATGTTTTTTAATTTTCTGGACATCGCAAATATTTTATTGTCGCACCTAAAATTGAAAAAGATTTTTAAAATCGGAGCTAAATATTTTTTAACTAACTTTTTTTAACTATAAATTTAATTATTACAAACCCTTAGCATCTCCTACTGTACCTCCAGCAGGCTCTAGCCAGAGAAATGCCTGATCGGTGAAATCGACGTGATCAATCGCACAGCCCCCGCACATGTTATTAATTGGCACAGTCAAACTTTAATTTATTTGTTTTTTTAATTTTGTAAGAAAAGATTATAAAATTAATTGTTTAGGTGTTAAATAGGTACATAGCTACATAGTTAAAGAGGTAAACACTTATATAGATGATAACCTTAAGGATTTTCTACAGTGCATCATTAATTAATTTCTATAATGAAGTAAAGTAGATTTTATTTTTTTTGGGTTATGCCCAGGGTGACCCTTTTACCCTATTTATAGGGCATTTGCCCTATTTTTGACTTTTTTGCCCTAGTTTTTCCCTATTTTTTCATTTGCCATATTTTTGCCCTATTTTTACCATTTTTTAAAATTTTTACAATTTTTACAGTGAAATGGCTGAAAACGGAAGAAATCTGACCTTTATCCTTCCAAAATTCTTAAAATTTTCGCCTGCGGCGCAAAAAAGAAGAAATCTGGCTTCTTGGTCTTACAAAATTCTCAAAATTTTCGCCTGCGGTGCTAAAAAAGGAAGAATATTTGAAGACTTTGTGTGAAATCAAAGGCCTGCGGCGCTGAAAAAGAAGATAAAGAAGGGCTCGAGTGGAATATAGGCGGATTTTTATTAGAGAAGATTTCGGAGAATATTCTAGGACTATGGGGGAATTGACTAGATAACAACGGATTTGCATTGATAAAGAGAGATCAATGGATTTGAGAGGTTAATTATGTCTAGGAGGATTAAGGTAAATGTAAGATTAAGCTGGATATAATATAATTTTGAGTAAGGGTATATGAAGGGTCCTAAATTACCTTGATAACTCTGTTAATCCACAAATCCATTATAATTTCTCCCATCCCATTATATCCCTCAATATTTTCGAAGTTTTTAAACAATGCCCTATTTTTTGCCCTATTTTTGGCCATTTTCGCCCTATTTTTGCCACATTTTTGAGTGGCTGCGCCCTATTTTAGTGGTTTGGAAAGGGTCACCCTGGTTATGCCATGAAACAAAATAGCTATGCTCCCTAAAGACCCCCCACTTATTAAAGCTTCCTAGATGCCTATTTTTGAGTCTGTGTGGAGGTTACTTATCATATTTATTGAAGAATTTCTAAGAGAAAATCTCTCTTAGAAATTCAGACAGACAAGATTTTGGCTGTTATGAACAGCGTCGTTTATTAAAAATTTTCTTAAAGACTTACGTATTCCCCTTGTAGGTAACCTGAACACATTTACTCATACAAACAGGGTCATTGGCAACCGTACGGTTATCAGACAGACAAGATTTTGGCCAATTAGCGCTGGTATTGAAAAGAGATTGAGAGACAGCTGCTGACATATCAGGCTATAATAATTATTTTTTATATTTATTTAATATTTTTGATAAAATTTTGATAGAAATTATAAAATTAAGAAAAAAAAGGTCTTATTTTGAGTGATGCTTTTTGAAGCACTTATAAAACCCAAAAAAATTTTCGAAGCTAATAGAGATTTATATCAAGATTCTTCCTGTAATCCTTCTATAATTTTCCCTGTATTAGTGATGTTCGAGACTCTCAGTCTCGGCTTCTTTTATCTCACGAACATCATTACCCTGTATTTTTAAATATACTCATCAAGATCAAAACAAACTTTATTCATATCAAATCCACAAGCTCCTCTTCCTTGATTTTCTGCTCTCCCATACATAGTAAAATGCCCATTCTGGATTTCTTTATTTAATTGGGCATAAATTGGTCCATTTGTATTTTCTTCTTTAAGACAGGTTTGAGCATTTGTAAAAGCTGGCTTTTCAACTTTGGTTTCTTCAATTGTATAGCCAAGGATTGATAAAAAGGTCAAAAATGAGTAAATCATATTTTAAGAATTTTATTTTAATTTTTTGATTAAAATAAGAAAAATCAACCCATTTTTATATTAAAACAAAAAATATTTTTTAAATATTCATTTTTACACATAATACAAAACACAACTTTTTTTAATGGTACAAAACTGTCAAAACAAATTTTTTTGCCACATAAATAAAATAAATTCTTTGTTCTTTTTAACACGTTTATTTAGTAATTGTTGAAAATTTTTAGTTTAATATACGTTGAGGACATTCACGGTGTTTTAAATATTTTCTAAAATTTATAGAATTTTATGATACCATTTTAAGGTAAACAAAATGTAAATAATGATTCATCAAAGAAATTTTTTAAGATTATTTAAAAATATTAATTTTTTTTTATTTAAAACACCTAATCAGTAGGGATGGGATTTTTATTCTTTTTTTGCAAACACGCTTTGTCGAGAGGAGCTCAGATATGCCATTAGTTTCTCGATAATGTGATTCTGAACAAAGTTGTATGTATTTCAATATATTTCAATATTTTGAAAATTTCCCGTTATTGCAATATTTTATATTTTTTGCAAATTATTTCAATATTTTTGCATATTTTTATCAAAATTTTGGGATTTTTCATTAATTTTAGGAAAAAAGTGAAGAACTCTGGCAGTTTAAACTACAAAATTCTAAAAATTTTCGCCTGTGGCGCTGAAAATGGAGAATTCTGGCTTATTTAATGGGGTAATTCTTACTGGGAGATTGTACGTACACTTTTTGTACTTACACTAAGAGTACGTCGAGTACCGAGTAATTGGGAAAAACCGAGATCAAGTAACAACGTAAACCTATGGGGCGTCGGCGAGGCGCTTGTGCAAAACCCCGCGCTTCGCTTGCGGGGAGTCTACGGTCGCTGGGTCCTGGGCTCGTAACTTAATCCTATTCCAATTATCGCTGTGATGGGCATGCCCGGCTTCCTCCGCAGCAGCAATAATAACTTTATATAAAGAATATTTGTCAATTTTGACGAACTTTATAAAATAGAGACAAAATTAATGTAATTCGATGAAAAATAATTCTATAAAATCTTTTTGACGTATAATACAGAAATTATTGTGGATGAATTCTTAAACGATTACAAACAGCTTCTTTGTACGGCTTATTAGTTATTATACAAACAATTGGGTTAAAAACGGGTATAAAATGATTGAAAATTACAAGAAATATATAGAGAATATCTTTATTTTCTTTATTTGAATCATTTGCCTGATTATTGTATGTAAAGTATGCAAGTATTAAAGACAAAAATTGATTAATAGATGGAATAATTGCCTAAAATTTGAATAAAATAAGCAAAAAATTAAATAATTCACACCAAAATAATCAAAGTTTTTGTCAATTGTTTAAGTAATCTCTTCATATTTTGATCAAATCCAGTATGTAAATTAACATAATAAACCATTTTAAAGCCAAAAATAGGAATTATAACAAATGGAAGGATTATAAGAAGAGCTATGATTAATGATGTCTTGTCTTGCTTCAAAATAATTTATTGTACTTTTTACATTTTTAAAAAAATACCGCTGATTTAAAAGAAACATATGGCAATGTTTTGTTTAATTCATCAAAATGTTTAACGCCTCCATCAATTATGGCGAATGAAATAAAAATCAGATTATAAATCAAACCAATGATTAAAACAATCGAGAACATGTACAATAAATATTTTTTGAAATTAATTTTCATGTTTCTATAAATTTGTTTTGGGTAAATGTGGAGTTTACTGGTCCCTAGAAATTACTAATTTCGAACACCTGATCAGAATTCAACGAAGTCGAAGACGGATGGAACTTCGAAATTATGATATTATAAACATTATCCTGACTCAATTCGACTTGCGAATTTTGGTCCTGGGTTAAAAATATGCGATTTCTAAGGTTAGATTTGGACTCAGCACTTATTACTTTCAAATAGAGTATGTCGAGTACCGAGTAATTGGGGAAAACCTGAGCTCGAGTAATACGAGTTTGAAAAACCCGAGTTCGAGCTTTAGCTCAACTTTTTAGGCCGAGTTCGAGTAATCGAGTAATTTTTATAAAAGAGTATAACAAAATAATTTTAATAGAAACAATACTTTTAATGAAAAATATTCATCATAAATGCTGGGTATTGGGCATTTGTTGACAGATGTGGGGGATCATCATACAAATCCAAGTTATTTTCGTTAATCCGCAAATATCACTCTTAATCGCCAAAATTCTATGATATCGCCCACGATTTATGTTGTATACGGGCTCCGGATGGATATTTCGGAGAATTTGTGTAGATTAAGGGGATATCGAGTGATAACAGTGGGTAGAAAATAATCGAGCTCGAGTAATACGAGTATCCTGATCCCGAGTTTCGAGTCGAGTAATTACGCAAAAAACCCGAGCGGTCGAGTCGAGTAAACCTAATTCGCTCGACTCGGACGTACTCTACTTTCAGGCAAACCTTAAGAATATCGAAAGACCGCTTTTCCAAATTTTTCTAGTGAACAGTAATCTCATCATTTTTAAATTCTGATTAAAATTGTTTATGTTATATGTACCTGTTCAAAATTAAATATCTAAAAACAAATTGTGCACACAATCCATATAAATTTATAATGAAAAAAAATTGAACAATAATTACAAAGCTTGCACAGATAATTTTGTTAAAATTTTTTTCCATAAATTCAATAAAAATTCCATTTGTAAAAATAAAGACTGAATTTCCATTGTTGTTAATTATAATAAACTTAAGAATGTTTAAATTTAAATATCTTAAAACCATAAAATCAGCGTAAAACCGGGGTAAATGTCTTTAAAATATATTAAATTCTTTTATGCAGTATTATATTTTTGGAAAAATTTGCTTTGAGCCCCTATTCTAAAATTGGCAAATTATATGTCATTCGAATGGCTTCACGAGCTTACTCAAATAAAAACGTTTACCACTTGAATAAGCATTTGAAAGGCTAATACTAAAATATCCAAAACACAATTTTGTATCAGAATTCGACTGTGTGTTTTCATTTCTTCTGGTGTTTTAAAAATAATTAAAATAATCAGAATAATGTTTAGAAAATAACCAAGTAATAAACTTGTCCAATAATCCCATATAAGAAAAATATCAATTAGATTGGGCATTTTTATTTTATTTTAATTTTAAATGTTTTATAGATAAAGTAAATTAATTAATAAAAAAATTTTTTATTAAAAAGTTTCGCACTAATAACCTTTAAAAATACAAAAAATATTTATGAGAAAATTTTGTTTATTTACATTCTAACAAATTTCTGAGAAACGTCACAAGTGTTATTAAGTACACCACCCACTAGATCTTAAGGCAATGCCTCATTAAAAAATATTAAAAAAAAATTTTTAATATTTTTTTAATTGCTCATTTAGGGCAATGCTATCAACGGACAATAATTTAATTTATTTAAAACGATTGCAATAAAAATACTTTTGTGCTTTTGATATTTATCAAATTAAAATTAAAGCGAATAACTGATTAAAAGGATTAAGCTATATGTTAGAGAGCGGAACGGGGGACCCGGTACCGTTTCCCGGTCCTCTTTCCCGGCATTTTTGGAGATGCCGGGATGAAACGGGATCGGGAATTCCCGGTTTTCCCGGTCCGGGTCCGGCCGGTTAATTTTCAATTTCCGTTTCCAATCCAGGCTTTTTCAAAATTCAGCTCTCTACTATATGTACAAAAATAAACGTGAATTGAATGTCTTAAAAATAGTAACTATGAATTTTAGCTATGAATATTTCTCAACTTTAATCCTTAACATAATTAATACTCCACCACCACATAAGGTGCATAAATGGCCTTTGTAGTTGATTTAATTACCCAGAAAATTATTGTGGATGTATTCTTAAACGATTACAAACAGCTTCTTTGTATGGCTTATTAGTTATTATACAAACAATTGGGTTAAAAACGGGTGTAAAATGAGTGAAGATTCCAGTAAATATATAAATTAGATTTACAGGAGTTACATTTGTAGTATTACCGAAACTAAAGAATATTGTTGATAAAGTTAGGAAAAGGTTAATAAATGGAATAATTATCTGAAATTTAATAAAATAAAATTAAATAAATTTTATATACCAAAATAATCAAAGTTTTTGTCAATTGTTTAAGTAATCTCTTCATATTTTGATCAAATCCAGTATGTAAATTAACATAATGAACCATTTTAAATCCACAAACAAAAATTATAACAAATGGAAGTATTATAATTAGAATTATAATTAATGCCAGGATATCTTGCTATAAAAAATAAATACTTTGGCAAGTTTATAATTTGCCCTTCCCATGTCATATGATAGATAAAGTCCATTGTAAAATTTTTAAAAATAATACTGATACCTTTGAGTTAACAGAAACAAACGGCAATGTTTTGTTAAATTCTTCAAACTGTTTAACCCCTCCATCAAATATAGTGTATAAAATGTAAATCAGATTATCAAACAACCCAATAATTAAAACAATCGTAAACATATAAAAATAGCTTTTAAAGCCAATTTTTAAGTTTCTATAAATTTATCTTATTATTTATTGTGGATAAGCGACTAATTATTTATTTTAATCTAGTCGCTTATCTACGTAATTTAATCGCTTATCAAGGCTGGATTTTTATCTGGATCTGGATTTTTCCTGGATCCAGATCAAGAATCCGTTCAGGTTACTAACCTAAATCCAGCAGAATCTAGATCCAGGATTTTTGACAACCCGTCTCTACTACCACCATGATCTGTTGTCATGCCTAGCCCCTACACCATTTTTTATTTATCTATTGAGCAAACCACTAACGCATTTGCGTGATTGTAGTGGTACATATAATCTTTTTGTGTGCGCTATAGTCGACATTATTTTCATAAATTAATTCTGATCTTTTACCTGTTCAAAACTAAATATCTAAAAACAAACTGAGCACACAATCCATACAAATTTATAATGTAAAACGTTTGTCCTATAAATAAATAACCGAGGTAAA